TCGTTAATTCGACTTTTGCGTTAATTCGACCGATGACCGCCGACCGCAAGCGGTCGAATTATCGGCAATCGACTGTATGACGATTATTTATATGTTATTGAATACATCTGTATAAAAAATCGACCATTTCTAACAAATTTTGCGTTGTTTAGATCTCAAGCTATGTAAAAGTTCTCTCCACAAGACCACCTGTTACGCCAGACTGTATTTACCGAGTAGTACTAAGGTTTAGTAGCTTTCTACTTCTGACAAAGACTACCCACGGCTAGATGTACGTGCATTTTAAACGTTAAATATAATAAAAAGTAAAGACAAATTAATAACAATTAAACAGCTTCAAACATTAAATTATACGACAGATACCAATGAAAAAATAGCAACATCTTTCAACAATTTACCTCAGTGAACTGCTGTCCATATTCCCTCAATTCATAATTACATCGTATAAAACTCGATCTATAGTCACTTCAGTCTATAATCACCATTTTCTTTTTTCAAAATTGAAAGGTGTGACTATAGACAGATTTCACCGCAAAGTCTTTAAATAGTCTGCAGTGCAGTGCAGTGCATCTCTCTCTCTTTGTAAATAGCATTAATCTATTCCTAGTCTGTATATTGCTATTAAAACTTGCATATTTTCTATGTATTGCGTCGAGTCAACAATCAATCAATCGTTGAAATTGTGTTTTAATACAGATAAGCTTTTAAAGCCAGAATAGGAGAGAAAGGAAAGCTGTCTATATCTCTTGTAGGTGAATGTGTCTAAATAGTAACGATTGCGTAAGCGGTTCTTTTGACTCTGTTTGGCATAATGTCAATTGATAATCTATTAACAAGAACCGAAAGTGTTGCGTAATCTGCATAGTTACATGAAGTCGACATATCTTTAATGCGAGATGTCACTCTGTATTCTGACATTACGTGTTCTTAAAAGCTAATCTGAATTAGATCATTGGTAGGAATTTGTGCGAATGATGTGGCGTTTCTCATCTATTCCAAATGCAGTTCTTGTGACTTGTTGATATTTGTTGTTTATCCTACCAAGTTACTCGCTCTTGCGGGTTTTGTGGTTTTGTCTTTACGTGGAGTCTTTTTCAAGCAAAGAGTAAGAGAGAGACGAGCTGGAAGTCCAAGTTCTGCCTCGTTAATCCAACGAACAACCATACTATCGGCGGGGAACCTCAGTTGATCGCTCTCGTTGTTACGTTGTCTTAAATAATTTGTTACGAATTCAAACCTTATTTGACGTTTGATATTAAACACTATCCACTTCAGCCGCTTCGATTACCTGCTCTCTCTTGATTATAAGAACAAATTCTTTCCACAACCTCTCTTTTTTATTTCACTTTAATAAACCAATCGAAACAACCATGGGTGTCTGTGTATCTTGTTGCTTCAGAAGTACGTGTCTTATCGCCGTCATACGTGTGGGATATGTTTATACGAATAAAGATAATATAATGCGTAACCAGTAACTATTGAAGGGTAACAATACGAGGAATATTTTGGAAGAGTCGTATTAGAATATAGTTTAAACACCACGGTATTTTGGCGCTGTAACGTTTAGAGAGACCAAGAAACGGACTTTATGAACCACTGTTGCAAGAGAGTGAACGTGAGGCTGTGGCTGTGTTGTTGGAATACCTTGAGCGTAAGTGAATGTGAAGTAATTTACACCTTATTTGATTGGAATGTGATTTGATAACCGGTTCCGATTGTTCTACGATAGATCGAGACGAAACAAATTTCTTCGAGGGCGAACCATTACATTCATTGTCTACTTTAGCGTTCTCTGATAAAGTTGAGTTACAACGGTCTGCCGCATTGGCTTTTGCTGAGATTACCGAAAAAGGTTTGCCTTGAACTGATTTTTGAGAGGATGAGGATGAAAACTATTTGCATTGCTAGCGATTAAGCAATTATTAGTCATATACAGTATGAGTATGACATAAAGAAGAAGAATATGTGGAAATTTGTTTCTTTTGTTTTTGTTCGACCAAAATTAAAATTGATAAGGCTTTATTGTTTTCCTTGAGCAGATGTTAGAGAAGTAGATCGCGAAACGATGGAGCCAATTATGTTCCTCCTTCAATCTCCCGATGTCGAGGTGCAAAGAGCCGCATCTGCCGCACTCGGAAATCTAGCTGTGGACTGTGAGTATCAAGAATGTTGCGCGGCGAACGTTGAGAATGTATTCAATATGAGGGTTTTATTCCTGTGCATAGTAGCAACACGTGACAATTGCTTGTCTATATTCTCATTAACGTTCTTTCCCTCAAAGCTGAGAACAAGCTCCTCATCGTGCAAATGGGAGGGTTGGAGCCCTTGATACGCCAAATGCTATCACCTAACGTTGAAGTTCAGTGTAATGCTGTTGGATGTATAACAAATTTAGCTACACATGGTAAGATTTTTTACTCAACAAAGGTGTTCATCACCTTAAGAGAATGTGGATATTAAAAATTTTTTTAATAGATGAAAACAAGTCTAAAATAGCCAGATCGGGAGCTCTTGTCCCATTGACACGTCTCGCGCGATCTAAAGATATGAGAGTACAAAGAAATGCCACAGGAGCTTTGTTGAATATGACTCATTCAGGTACTATAGTAACTCGAATCATTTTTGGCACGATTGTCTATTGAAAATGGGATTAGAATCTTTATGGCTCATATCTTACTCGATGTGAAGATGAAAACAGGCAACAGCTCGTAAATGCTGGAGCTATTCCGGTGTTAGTCGGTCTACTTAATTCGCCTGATACAGATGTCCAATATTATTGTACAACTGCTCTCAGTAACATTGCTGTTGACGGTGAGTGAAAGATGATAATAATTATAAAATTAAGATTAACACCTTAGTCTGTCCAAATATTTATATGTCCGAATTTAATATTTTCTGATTGTCTTTCAAATAATGTTATCGTTATATTCAATTATTGTAAATAACAAACTGATTTGGTTTCCTTTTCTCTTATCCCCCCACCTCGGTAGGTTTCAATCGTAAGAAACTGGCTTCAACAGAGACTCGGTTAGTTCAATCATTAATTGGATTAATGGATTCAACTTCACTCAAAGTCCAATGTCAAGCTGCGTTGGCATTAAGAAATCTTGCTTCTGATGGTAGGAAAAGTTAAAAAAAAAGCTTTAACTTATTGTCAAATCTTCTAATGTGGACTGTCCTTATTGGATTTAGAGAAATACCAACTCGAAATAGTCCGCTCAAAAGGCCTCCCACCTCTCCTCCGTCTTCTTCAATCCTCTTTCCTTCCTCTAATCCTTTCTTCAGTAGCCTGTATCCGTAATATCTCTATCCACCCGTTGAACGAATCTCCTATAATCGACGCAGGATTTCTTCAACCACTCATCCAGCTGCTCGCATATGAAGAAAATGAAGAGATCCAATGCCATGCCATAAGCACGCTAAGAAATCTTGCTGCAAGCTCGGAGAAAAATAAGCGTGCTATTGTTGATGCGGGAGCTGTAGAGAGAGTGAAAGAGTTGGTACTGAATGTGCCATTGGGTGTACAAAGCGAGATGACTGCCTGTGTTGCTGTTTTGGCTCTGAGTGGTGAGTTTACCCATAGATGGTTATGGTTCATTTGGGTGATTACAATTAGTCTAATGGGACAAGCGCGAAATATCTTGATGACTACTGTTTTGATGTCTTGCAGATGAACTTAAGCCACGGTTGCTTCAAATGGGAATATGCCAAGTATTGATTCCGTTGACTAGTTCTCGCAGTACAGAAGTTCGAGGTAACAGCGCTGCGGCTTTGGGCAACTTGTCGTCCAAAAGTGAGTTGATAACATTATTATAATAAGCGCTATAAATAGGGCATGTTTTCTTGTCCAAGAATCTTATTTAATCTTTTGCATGTATAATTATAGTACATGATTATACACCATTCATACGTGTATGGACAGAGCCAGATGGCGGTCTTCAAGGATATCTCGAAGATTTCCTTAATAGTGAAGACAAGACATTTCAGCATATTGCCATTTGGACGATAGTTCAATTCTTAGAAGGAAAAGGTATGTCTTCTGCTGAGTATCAACAAGATTATATGATAAATATGAAAGGGATGTTCACCCCGGGTTTAAATTTTTAGATTTACAGCTTCGTAAAATTATTTCGTCTTCGAGTAAGATAGTATCAGCTATAAATCGTCTGGCGGAAATCGGGTCAAACTCTGATGGCGAAGAGCAGTTGTCTGCTGATGAGGATGACACTAATGAGGGGGATATCGTAGCATTAGCGCGTAAGACTTGTGAATTATTGGCACAGGCTGATGTTTAATTAATATTATGAATTTGATATTGATATCTGCTTAGTTCTTTATAATAGCCTTCACTTTCGTTCTTCATTATTATTATTGACAGAGAACTTCACCACAAAATTGTCACGATGAAATATCGTGAATTGTGACGTGCTCGTATTTTGAAACCCTATCCATGTCTATCATCTTATCAAAGACTATTACCTCGATGATGAACCATTTGCATTTAATTGTATTTCAACTATTAGAGATTTGGTCAATGTTCTGCACAATACTTTTTATAGTTTGAGTGAATTTTTGTATGAGGACGGATGGCTACACAAATCAAACAATACATCAGAATATTTATCACTAATTCTACAGCCAAACGCTTTGATGATGTTAATAATGAATTCGCGAAATTCATTTTTCCTTCAATACGCTCATTGGCTCATTCTCGTCACGTTAAATCAACATCACCCAATAAAAATTCACTCACAAACAAAATTTTTCCGTCCTCTTTTTCACCACCTGGACCTCTCACTTCAAAGTGTGTGCGTTGCGTTGGTGTTTTACAGCAAAGGAATTGCTCGAATATGGCTGCAACACAGATCTCGAAGAAGAGAAAAGTATGGTTAAGAATCCGTTTTTATTCATTTAATTAGAGTATAATTAGGCGATCAAATATCATAGATGAAGATTAATAGAATAACGTAGAGGAACATTCGTGCACACCCGAGGTATTTTAAATGATGACTCATGTATCTGGCACCTCTTGTTTGAATGCCATGTAACAATTATACATGGTATAATGAACGGAATACCGATATGTCTGATATTATATTTCGGATGTGGAAATCAAGGACGACAGAGGAAGAGCAAACAAAATAGGATTATCTATGTATCATTTAATTAGGAAGAACAAATCCTTAATCCATGCGATAATTCCATGTCGCTTTCTGCTCATCCCCGCAGAAATTATTAACTTGGGTAAGAAGATGGGTATTTACATCTATGTAACTCACAACTCTGTACGTCTTTTACACCCATCTCTCCCTATACCTACATCATCACAATCCTCCAAGTTTGTAGCGGATGGCGTATTTTTCGCTGAACTAAACGAGTTCTTCACCCGTGAATTAGCCGAGGAAGGCTACTCGGGTGTTGAAGTACGTGTCACTCCCGCTCGTACAGAGATCATTATCCGCGCTACGCACACTCAGGAAGTACTCGGAGAAAGGGGTAGACGAATTCGAGAGTTGACTGCATTGATACAGAAGAGGTTTAAGTTCCCTGAGAACATGGTTGAATTGTACGCAGAAAAAGTATTGAATCGAGGATTGTGCGCTATTGCACAATGTGAAAGTTTGCGATACAAACTATTAGCTGGATTGGCAGTTAGAAGGTAGGTAATGAGATGGAAAGGGGTATACGCGTGAGTAAGAATCAGAAATAAAATTCTATATGTGTGGCCTGCAGTTGGATGAAAATTACGATGGGCATCAATCAGCACACAATTAATAATATTGTGGTTGACTACATTACACCTCATGTTATTGCAATAGGGCTTGCTATGGTGTACTTCGTTTTATCATGGAATCAGGTGCAAAAGGCTGTGAAGTTGTTGTATCCGGTAAACTTCGAGCCGCTCGTGCTAAATCCATGAAATTTGTCGATGGATTCATGATTCACTCTGGACAGCCGATTCGCGACTATGTTGATACAGCCATTCGCCACGTTATGTTAAGGCAGGGTGTGTTAGGGATCAAAGTCAAGATTATGTTGGTACGTTGAGGCGATTGAGGACTCAGCATAGAGAGTGGCCCGCGGCGTAGCTGCACAGCTCTAGGATTGGGAATATTTAATTGGTTACTAAGAATCTTCATTTGGTGAACATGTAGGATTCAGATCCTAGTGGTAAAATGGGTCCGAAGAACCCTCTTCCTGATGTCGTTACAATAATGGTAAATACGATTTCTTGTTTGTTTCTGTTATCGCGAACTTATTTACAACCAATATGCCATAATGCAGGAACCCAAAGAAGAAGCTCCAATTCTCCAACCAGCTTCCGAGGACTTCACTCGTCTTCCAGAAAATGCTTCAGTCAGTGTTCCCGTCATTCCTCCTGCGGCTATTCCTGAAATAACACAAGAATTTTCAACTACTGATGTTATTGCAACCGATACTGAAACTTGGAACCCGGAGACAGAGGTTGTTGGATGGGGGGGCACTACTGAGACTAATACTGGTGCAGAGTCGGGATGGTAGAGGTAACAAAAGTGCTTAGTATATTATTTGAATAAACAATCATTCTTGACATTTTAATACGAGAGGAGAATGTGTGGATGCCGATATGGTTGGCATGTAAACGTTTTTGAATAAAGACTGCTATATTAATGATGTAACTCAACTTTACATTGTGAGTAAAATTCAGTCGCAAACTAATAAAGCAAATTGATTAATATGGCTAAAAAAAAATTAACCCAGCTTGTTGATTCCAACTAGTTGGCCTATCATATACACGTGAGACGTTGCCTTAAATCAAAGTAGTTTCTAATTGTTGGTCCGTCTAAGCTATGAAGATACCTTTTTTTACGTCTCTACTTCTCGAAAATTTGGTATCATGCTTTTAAAAGCAAGCCAGCAGGTTGTGCATGAGCTCCAGTATTACTGTTTAAAATGGAGATGGGTGGTGAGGTGATGCATGCCATTGACTTTTGTATGGCCTTATGAACGACATGAGGTCGCCAATCTTGTCACGCGACTTTCGCGTTATTACTGCGCTTGGATGCGTTGTTTTTTCCAATGCTTGAAACAGACTATGGATTTTTACGAATTATCTCCCCTTGCGAATGGATGTTGTTGCCCGTGCTGAACCATTACCGTGTAAAAAACGAAACCGCAAATCGAAGTGTTAAACAAAGATCGCTTCACCCACAACAGACAAAAAACTACAGCCCAGGCCATGATAAATGACTGGAAGGTAATGAGTGAGGTTCGAAGAAGATGGCCACCGAGTTGGATTGAGGCTTAAACACCTGATAAATGCACAGTTCCTGTAGCAAGAACAGAGGCACCCTCATTAGCTCATCAGATTTGGAAATTGGAAATGTTAGGACGAAGCTCATTAGGTATTACCAAATAAAGCATTATTGGAGTAAACGTAAAAAAGCAACAACCTGAAAATATGTATTATGAATATGAAGAACGAAACATAAATAAAAACTAAACCTTAATTCTATATACATAGTCAACCTCGTTAATCCGAACCTCGTTAATTCCTCGTTAATCCGAACCTCGTTAATTCCTCGTTAATCCGAAAAAATATTCTGGTCCCGATTTTTTTAATAGGAAATTTACCTCGTTTATCCGAATTTTTATAATAAATCTCTGTAATCCGCAATCCGAAGGCAGTTGTGAAAAACATGTCATATAAAAATTCCTCGTTAATCCGAAGATTTTTATTAATCCGAAGAATCTCATCAGCCTGTAAAACTTGACTCTCTTTTTCTTTCATAATGAACCATAAGCCAAAAAGACAAAAAAAGAATTAAAGATTGCCGAGAAAATCGAATTATGCAGTATTAAGCAAAGAAATCCAAAAATTGCGAACAAAACTTTGGCAACTCGATTTGGAATCGGTGAATCAACCGTGCATGATATCTTGAAACGCAAAAACGAATATCTTAATAAAGATCCAAACCACCATCTCACTTCAAGAAAACGCGATCGCCCACCCAAATTCCGCCAGCTTGAAGAGGCTCTTGCTATTTGGTGTGAAGCTGTTGTAGAAGCAAATCTGCCTCTATCTGGTTGTCTTCTCCAATCTAAAGCTCTCCAATTTGCTACCCTGTTGGGCATTAGTGTTGATGAATTTAAATGTTCAAATGGTGGGTAACCAATTTTAAGAATCGATATAACATCTGCGAATATACACGTTGTGGTGAGGCAAATAGTGCGCCGCTTGAAAAATTATCTACATACAGGACAGAGCTGCAGCAAGTAATCTCTCAGTTTGAGCTTAAAGACGTATTTAATGCTGATGAAACGGCGCTCTATTGGAAACTTTTACCATCTAAGACACTCTCCTCTCATTCAGTTTCTGGTGTTAAAAAGATGAAGGATAGGATAACAGTTCTACTCGCTTGTAATGCAATTGGGACGGAGAAATTGCCTCCTCTTCTCATATACAAATACAAAAATCCACGATGTATGAAGAATATTAACGAAGACACACTCCCAGTACATTACTACTGGAACTCTTCTGCATGGATGCAATCGTCCATATTCAAGCACTGGCTAAATAGACTGAATTCCGATATGCGTCGTAAACAACGAAAGATTCTCCTACTTGTTGATAATGCTACTTCACACCAGTTTGGCGAAGACTCGTCATTCAGT